CTCTTAAAGAATGATGTTGGAATCTGGAATATAGATCTGGAATCTATAGATTGTTTTGGGTCGTGTTGACATTTTCACAATATTGTCATGGATAGGAAGACCCCCAACTAGATGGATGGGCCAAGTAGTAGCATCGATTGACTCAAGCATGGCAACAATAGTGAGGTTGGCCTAGGATTGGGCAGTGTTTTGTTCTGCTGTGCATAAGGTTGCTATGGGCAACAACAACATCCATGAACATATTCTTCTATGTTTGTAAGTACCCTTTGATTTCTTCTAGTAGTGTTTTGTAGTTTTCTTTGTATATGTCTTTTGTTTCTCTGGTTAGATTTACTCAGAGGTCTTGGGCTCACTGTGGTCCAGAATTCTACACAACTGAACAAACTTTAAAGCACAACTGACTGACACAGCTGAATTGCAAAGTTCCACAACTCACAGCAATTCACACTCTGGCAACCTCTGAGACAAGAAACAATGAAAAGCGCAGATCATCACCAGTGATTTATAAGCCAGTTTCCAGATAGTCTTTTCCTTATCTGTTGTTGTTAAGTGCTGTCGAGTCGGCTCCGACCCATAGCGACCCTGAGGCTGTAAATCTTTACGGGAGCAGAAAGCCTCATCTTTCGAACTACTGACCTTGCGATTCACAGCCCAATTCGTAACCATTACGCTACCAGAGCTCCTTATTTGTAAAAACCACTATTTTGCCACTTATTTTAGGAAACTTTTGAATCAATCTAGAAAGTGTCTCCAATCACTATCTGCTTGGTTCGTACCAAAATTTCTAACTACAGGTATTTGGAGGGAAAAGTCAGTATTTATGCAAATCTACATCTCCAACAACTGTTTGTCTGCCAGTTTGTTGTAGTGTGGTGGCTTGTGTGTTGCTACACAATATCAGCAGAGTCACTCATGATGGACAGGTTTCACTGGAGCTTGCAGACTAAGGCAGAGTAGGAAGAAAGAGAGATGGATCATTTCAGAGTGGTTAGGCACTGAAAACCTTATGAATAGCAGTAGAACACTGTCAGATAGAGTGCCGGAAGATGAGCCAATCAGGTTAGAAGACACTCAAAATACAAGTGGGGAAGAGCTGCCTCTTCAATGTAGAGTTGTCCATAATGACCTGAAAGAAGCAACATGTTTTGGACCTTCATTTGCTGATGGGGCACAACTCAAAATGAGGAGAAACCGCTGCAAGCATCCATTAGTGATTGGGACATTAAATGTACGAAATACGAATCTAGTAAAATGGGAAGAGGTCAAAACTGAAATGGAATTCATAAATATCCGTATCCAAGGTATTAATAAGCTGAAATGGACTGGCATCGGCCATTTTGAATCTGACAATCATATGGATTACTATGCCAGGAACATCAAATTAAAGAGGAAATGGTGTCACATTCATCATCAAAAAAAAATATATATATATATTCCAAGATCTTTCTTGAAGTACAGTGTAGTTTGTGATAGGATAATATTCATACATATACAAGGAACAAGTTCTGGTGTCACACTGTAGGATAAGTACTGGACTGCTAACTATAAGGTTGGCAGTTCAAACCCACCAGGTGCTCCTTGGAAACCCTATACAGGGTCCTTCCTTATGAGTTGGAACTGGCTCAACAGCACTTAACAGCAACAACAAAAATTGTTAATACCATTATTATTCAATTATTCAACTATTAAAGCCAGTGATAATGAAATTGAAGAATTCTACCAACTCCTTCAGTCTGACCATCACTTTTATGTCGGTTTGTCTTATTGTGGTGGCCTGTGTGCTGCTGTGATTCTGGAAGCTATGCCACCGGAATTATAAATCCCAGCAGGGTCACCCATGGTGGACAGGTTTCAGCAGAGCTTCCAGACTAAGACAGACTAGGAAGAGGGAGAGGCGGACTACTTCAGAATGTTTAGCCATTGAAAACCTGGTGAACAGCAGTGGAACACTGTTGGATAGACTAGAATACTGAATATTGGAACACAATGCACAGCACCAGAATATTGTCAGATATAGTGCCAAATTGAAATCTTTCAACAAACTGGAGGTATTCAATCAACTATGCCAAAAAATTTGGAAGACAGCTACCTCGCCAACGGCTTGAAAAGATCCATGTTTGTGCGCATTCCAAATAGAACCGACCTAGTGGAATGCAGATAGAATCAGACAATATCATTAATATAGCACACAAGTAAGATTATGCTAAAGGTAATTTTAAAAACATCTGCAACAGTACATTGACAAGGAACTGCCAGAGGTTCAAGCCAGATTCAAATGAAAATGTGGAACATGGGATATTATTGCTGACATCAGGTGAATCGAGGCTGAAAGCCGAGAACAAAAGAAAGATGTTTGCCTTTGCTTTTATTGACTATGCAAATGCTTTCAACTGTGTGTGGATCATGACAAGCTATGGATAACATTGCAAATAATGGGTCTTCCAGAACTCTTAATTGTGCTCAGGTAGTCTTTGGAGCAGAACAAAGGGATACTGAAGGCTTTATAATCAGAAAAGGTGCATGTCAGGGCTTTCACCATATTACTCAATGTGTGGAGTCCTGGTGTGGCGCTGTGACTGCAAAGCTGTTTGAACTGCAAGGACGGCGGTTCAAGCTCACCAGCTGCTCCTCAGAAACCCTATACAGGGTCACTATGAGTCCACAATTCGATCTGTATGCTGAACAAATAAACTGAGAAACTGGATTATATGAAGAATATAGTATCAGGATTGGAGGAAGACTCATTAACAACCCACAATATTCGGATGACACAACCTTGCTTGCTGAAAGCAAAGAGAAGTTAAAATACTTACTGATGAAGGTCAAAGACCACAACCTTCAGTATGGATTGCACCTCAATGTAAAGAAAACAAAAATCCACACCACTAGACTGAAAAATAACATCAGGATAAATGAAGAAAAGATTGAGGTTGTCAAAGACTTCATTTTGCTTAGATCCACAATCAGCACTCACGGAAGCAGCAGTCAAGAAATCAAGTGATGTATTGCGTTAGACAAATCTGCTGCACTAGACCTGTGTGAACTGTTCAAGAGCAATAAGATATCATTTGAGGACTAAGATGAGCCTGGTCCAAGCCATGGTATTTTCAATTGCCTCATATGCATGTGAAAGTTGGAAACTGAATAATGAAGAACAGAGAGGAACCGATGCATTTGAATTATGATGTTGGAGATGAATTCTGAAAGCAACATGGACTACCAGAAGAACAAATCTTTGTTAGAAGTCCACCAGGATGCTCCTTAGAAAGGAGGATGGCAAGACTTTTCTCTCATACTTTGTACATATTATCAGGAGGGATCAATTCCTGGAGAAGGACGTCATACTTAACAACAAACTGGTGGAGGTTATGTGCCGTGGAGTCGGTTCCGACTCATAGTACAGAGTTTCTGAGGCTGTAAATCCGGACCAAGAAGCAGTTGTTCAAACAGAACATGGGAACACTGAATGTTTTAAAATTGGGAAAGGTGTGCGACAAGGTTATGTTCTTTCACCATACTTATTCAACCTGTATGCTGAGCAAATAATCCTACCTTTTTAGTATTGGAAGAAAACGTGATATCAGAATTGGAGAAAGACTCATTAACAACCTGCGATATGCAGATGATACAACCTTGCTTGCTGAAAGTGAAGAGGACTTGAAACATTTACTGATGAAGATAAAAGAGCCTTCTGTATGGATTGCATCTCAATGTCAAGAAAACAAAAATCCTCACCACTGGACCAATAAACAACATTCTTACCAACGGAGAAAAGATTGAAGTTGTCAAGGAATTCATTCTTCTTGGATCAACTATCAACATTCGTGGAAGCAACAGTCAAGAGATCAGACGACGACGTATTGCATTAGGCAAATCTGCTGCACAAGAACTTTTTAAAGTGTTGAAGAGCAAAGATGTCAGTTTGAGGACTAAGGTGCACCTGACCCAAGCCATGGTATTTTCAATAGCCTCATATGGATGCGAAAGCTGGACAGTGAATAAGGAAGATCATAGAAGAATTGATGCCTTTGAGTTGTGGTGTTGGAGGAGAATACTAAAAGTGTCATAGACTGCCAAAAGAACCAATAGATCTGTTTTGGAAAAGTGCAGCCAGAGTGCTCCTTGGAGGCTAAGATGGCTAAACTTCGTCTCTCATACTTTGGACATATTGTCAGGAGGGAACAGTCGCTGGAGAAGGATATCATGCTTGGTAAGATGGAGGGTCGGAGAAAGAGAGGAAGACCCCCAATGAGATGGATCGGCCAGATGGCATCATTGATGGACTCAAGTGTGGCAGTGGTAGTGAGGTTGGCCCAGGATGGGACATTGTTTCGTTCTGCCGTGCATGGGGTCGCTATGAGCGGGTTCCGACGCGATGGCACCTGACAACAACAAATCTTTACGGGAGCAGAAAGCCTCATCTTTCTCCCGAGGAACAGCTAGTAGTTTCTAACTGCTGACCTTGAGGTTAACCACTACGTTACCAGAGCTTAAAATGAAGAGTAGGCGAAAAAGAAGACTCCCAGTGAGATGGATTGGCACTGTGGCAGCAATAATGGGTTCAAATATAACAATTGTGAGGATGGCGTAGAACCATGCCACGTTTCTTTCTGCTGTGCATTAGTTCGCTGGGAAGCGCCTCCAAGGCAACTAACAACCTAAACCGCCTCCAAAGCGATCAACTTGAAGGTTAAAGGCAGCAAGTTCAGGGGAGCGCTCAGCAGCACCCCCTACGGTCACAGTGGTCAACGCCAGGCACCTGGATTGACGCCAGAGCGCATGACCCGACGTCAACGGCTGGGAGACCTAGGGGGAGCACGCATGCGTCCTCCGCCAGGGGAAAATTTATTGTAATACCGGAGTTGAGCCCTAGAAGGCGGTATAGTCTCAGGTCAGAAGCAGGAGTTTCCGGAGACAAGTAATTGTGACTGGTGGATCCTAGAGCAGGGCGGGGTCTCGAGAAATTCGAATCGGAAAGGCGGGCCAGAGGAGCGGGTGGAATGGATGCTGGGATCCCCGCTCAGCGGAGACGGCGCGAGATGGCGGCGGCTACTTCGGGTACCGGAGCCCGGTCTGGGTTGGGGGGAGAACCAAAACCTGGAGCTTTACCAGGTAATGCGTCGGAGTCTATTACGGGATCAGCGAGTTGGCAGCTGGAATGGCGCAAGGGCGGAATCGGAGGGAGGGTGACAGTTTGGGGATCCGGAAATGGTTAGCCCCCGGTGTTCTTTTTGTTTTCGGCGCTCCACTTGGGTCAGTAGAACCAGTTTGATACCAGGCTCCGACACAAGCCCTTCGTTTGAACCCTTGTGCACTTTTCCTTTCTGAACTTGGGTTTCATCGTTTGTAAAATGGAGACAATAATCTCCTGAGATAAGCGAGCGAAAAGTGGCTACTACTCTAACCATAGGACAAACTGAAAGGAACTGGATGCGTGTTCTGGGGAAAGGATTCTGTGTAAGATGTGATGCTTAACTGCAGAGAGGCTCCTGAGGTGCAGGGGGCAGGCTGAGAATCAGGGGGACCCGCTGCGGGGTGAGTTGACATTAGTGACAAAGATTAAGGTGTGCTGAGACCACAGAAAAGGGAAGTAATGCCTCCAGCCATGAGAGTGAATGCTATTCAAGTGTTGGGAGAACGGAAGTATTTTTTTGTTTACTTGTGCCTTGCTCCCCCGATTATGAATTTTGGTTAGTGGCTCCAGTGGACACCATAGTTATTTATTGTTAGGCCCTGTGGGGAAATAAAGATATTTAGTAGAAGGTCTAATGTGTTTTGAGCTCTTACCATGTACCAAAGTAAGCACTTTGCAGTGATCATTTAATTGCCACACAGTGCTACCAGTTGGTTACTATTGTCCCTGGTTGTCCGTAAAGAAACTAAAGCATAAGTAGGTTAAATAGCTTGACCAAAGTTAAAACAGCTAATAAATAAAGAGCCTCTACTCTTAACCATAAGGAGCTCTGGTAGCGTAGTGGTTACGAATCGGGCTGCGAACCTTAAGGTCAGCGGTTCGAAACTACCAGCTGCTCCGCGGGAGACAGATGAGGCTTTCTACTCCCGTAAAGATTTATACCCTCGGAAACCCTGTACAGGGTCGCTATGGGTCGGACCCGACTCGATGGCACTTAACAACAACAACAACACTCTTAACCATGTAGCGTAGTGGTTACGAATCCGGCTGTGAACCACAAGATCAGCAGTTCGAAACTACCAGCTGTTCTGCAGGAGAAAGATGAGGTTTTCTGCTCCGGTAAAGATTTATAGCCTCAGAAACCCTGTACAGGGTCGCTAGGAGTTGGAACCGACTCCACAGCACATAACAACAAACAACTATTAACCATGATGCCCAAGCACATGCCATTTGGTCTATCTGAGCACATCCTCCTCTCCTCAAAGATTCAGCATCCATTATGCTTGGCACATAGCTTTTGTTAGGCGCTGTCGAGTTGATTCTAACCTACATCCGTTGCTATGCTTGAACCCATTGTCTCATCCACTGTGTCAACCCATCCTATTTTCTCTGACACTCAACTTTGCCAAGCCAGCTATCCTTCACCAGGGACTGATCCCTCCTGATTACATATCCAAAGCACATGAGCTGAAGTCTGCCATCCTCCCTTCTAAGGAGCATTCTGGCTATAGCCAAGACTTAGGCAGTCCAAGGTATATTCAGTATCCTTCACTGACACCATAATTCAGAGGCATCAGTTCTTTTGCTCTTCTTATTCATTCCATAAGTATAGGGGTTAAGACTTACAACATCTTTTGTGGGGCACAGTGCAGTCCATAACAGAGATCGTTAGGAACTCCACTGATGGTGGGGAAGAGGTGAGCTGTAGGAGGTATTGAGATACCTGTGGTAAGTGGCAGAGCTTGGATTTGAACCTAGGCTGCCATACCTTAAATAATGTTCTTTCCAATTATATGCTGGTCATTGGTTGGCATTTTGCTTGTGACTTTTAACCCCAAGGCCCAGCCCATTTAGCAGACAAGGAAATAAGGACTAAACTTCCACCGTACTCTGCATAAGAGTGTGTGTTTGATTCCTGTATCTCGTCCATCCGGCCCTTGCCTGCTCATCCTCCCTAACAGGACACACACACACACAGTTCTGGTTCACCAGTTCTTCAAAGGAGCCACATTTCCACGCCCCTAGGCATCTCCCCGGAGTACTTGGCAAGCGCCTATTCATCCTTCAGAATACAGCTAAGTCAGGCATTTCTTCCTCCCAAGACTCCCTACTCTTACTTCTCAGCAAAGCTAGTCCCTGCTTTCTTTTGCCACCACCATACTTCATAGCTAATCCTCATCTTCTCTCCTCCAGGAGCTGGCCGCTGGCCGCTAAGCAAGGTCAGAGCCAGCCGGCGCCCACCTCCAGCTCGAGTAAGGGTGGCTGTGCGTCTGAGGCCATTTGTGGATGAGACAGCTGGAGCAAATGACACTCCCTGTGTCCAAGGCCTGGATAGCTGCTCTCTGGAGATTGCCAACTGGAGGAACCACCAGGAGACGCTCAAATACCAGTAGGATTCAAGCCATTCTTCCCCCATCATTTCCCTGTCCTAGGCCTGCTTACAGTGTTACTTGTTGCAGAAGGGTGTGGCCTCGGTATCTGGCCTCTTCCAGCTTCACAAGGGGGAAGGAGGAGAATCACCAGCCCAAGGCCACATCCTGAGGCAGAGGGCAGACGTGTGTCCATCCCCCAAGCTGCTTAACCCTATTCTGATATCAGCCAGCTCTCCCATGGCACTCTATTCCTCTGCTGGGTTTGATAATCCATTGCAGCGGCCACACCAAACTCCTAAATTATATTCAGGATGATGGAGGCTATTAGGGCAATTCAGGACCAGAAACAACTCAGGATACTCCAGTTCTCGGACCAGGAGCGCCTTTTCTCGGCCTTACCATAGCATGGACTCTCTCTTGTCCTCAGCCACGCAGCCCCTTGGCTTCTGCCCTGCTTGGACAGGTGTCACAATGCTCCTCTAGCACTGTTGATAAACACCCAAAGGACACTGTCAACTTCACTCGCTCAATGGGCCAGGAAGCCTCCCACTCTATTTCTAGCTCTGCTACTTCTCCATTCAGGGATCTCAGGGTCCAAAGGATGTGCTCCACTAGTGAGTCTTCTTTCTTGATGGTTGTGAGATTTCCCACTTCCTCCTTCTTAGGTTGCTCGTTTTAAACCTAGAGGAGTGGCAAAACTGACCAATCCCGAGTCTGAGTTTCATACACCTTGTTTGCATGGTTCCATACAGTCATTTGGTGGGAGTTACACAAAAGTTGGCTAGAAAATGCCCTACACCTCATTTGACCAGACAGTGTCTGAGACATGCCTTCCCAGGATCCTTGATCCTCCTTAGCAGAGATTTGTCCTCCATCACTTTCATTTGTCCACTCAGGAAATACTCGAGGCTGCCCACTGTGCCAGGTATACTGTAGGATCCTGTGGGGAGAGGCTGGAAGCTGAATCAGACCCATTCTTACTCGGAGTCTTATGAGGGAGACAGGTATCCAGGGAAGAAGCAGCAGCACAGAAGAGCAGGAGAGTCCCAGACGAGATCTATGGGAGTGCAGGAAGCGTTGGGGGCATCACAGATGAACCACTCAACCCAAGCTGCTGCTGAGTGGCGTCAAAAAAGACTACCCTGTTTGGGAACTCACATGACAGCTACTTTAAAATCCAAATTCTGTAGCCTGTCGCGATAGGTATAAAAATGACAGTGCTGTGTCGTCTGACCTCACACTTCATGAGGAGAGAAAGAGCAACAACCTAAAGCTGATTCCAAGAAGTACAAGTCAAATATGCCTCCTCTCCCTGAGTTTTTCACCAATTCTGACACCATCTTTCCCGCCTACAATACTATTTATCTGCTGGGTTCAAGAATTTATCACAGAACTCACCAGACAATATTCACGATTATGGAGTTTACTTAAGAAGTAATAAAAATCATGGTCAGGAATGACTCAGAATGCAGTTCTTCATTTAGAACAGCTTTTCTGCCTTGCCTGCAAGCAGGTCCCCTCTCCGTTGGCCCCTGGGCCCCTTGATCTGGCCTCCTCACTTCTTGGTCAAATGTTACATGTTACTAAGTTCTTTAGCTCAACTGATAAGCCCCCAAATGTACCCCACTCCACCAGGAAGCCTCCTGCCCAAAATTCTGTGGGTATACAAGCTTAGCTCTATTGACAAGTACCCAGAGGCACCCTAATCTGCCAGGAAGCCTCTTGTCCAAAGCCTCTCAGCTCTCTTATTTTGTGGGTTGGCACACCCACTGTAACGGCCTTGCCCTCCCATCATGCACCGGTCTTCTGGTTCTGCTGCAGCCATTTCTCTGCCACTATCTCACACCTTCTCCAGTGTTACAGCTCTCTCTGTTTCCTGAATCTAGAATGTTCTCAGCACAGGGACCCCCAGATCCCTTTGCTCCCACTCCTGGATCTTCTTTCTTCTTAAGATAATGAGTTTCACCCCTTACCACCTCTGGGATAGCTCATTTTAAGCCCAGTGGGATGGCAAAATTGGCCAATCCCCTTATTAGAATGTCATGCACCTTATTAGAAAACTGTCCAGACCGCTGGTGGGTCACAAGCACTTCATTTGCATAGCCCCACCTTACCATTTGGTTGCCATAATTAGACCGCAGCTGGAAAAGCCATATAAAAAAAAGGAAAATGCACTGGCCTCAATACGCTGGCTGCCGTTGCCGAATCAGTTCCAACTCATAGTGACCCTGTATAGGGTTTCCTAGGCCGTAAGTTTGTATGGGAGCAGAAAGCCTCATCTATCTCCTGCAGGGCCCCTGATAGGCTTGAACTGCTGACCTTGTGGTTAGCAGCCCACCACGTAACCCACTACACTACCAGGATTCAATAGGCTAGGGAATGGCAAACTGGCCTGCAAGTTAAATTTGACCAGCAGTCTGGTTTTATAAAGACTTACTGGAACATAGCCACATTCATTTATTTCACATGACTACTTGCCAACTAAGGAGCCTCTGGTAGCATAGTGGTTACGAATCAGACTGCTAATCTCCTGGTCAGCAGTTTGAAACCACCAGCTGTTACGTGGGAGAAAGATGAGGGTTTCTGCTCCCATGAAGATTTATAGCTTTGGAAACCCTATACAGGGTTGCTGTGAGTCAGAACTGACTCCACAGCACATAGCAACAACAACTTGCCAACTACAAAGGCAGAGCTCAGGATTTGTGACAGGAACCAGATGACCCATAAAGTCTGCAGTCTTTATTAGCTGACTCCTATTTTAGGCCCTTGGCAATTTGGCTTCAGTTTCTTTCCAGCCTCAGTCCTCCCGGCACATGCTATATTCCACCTTCCCTCAAACCCCTGCTGCTAAGCCCCAGTGTCATCAGCAGACTTCAATGACTAGGTTACAGCTGGGTTGAATCGCATCAAAAGCAGCATCCTCAATTTACCACCTCATCATGCACAAATACTACTGTTAGATGAAGATGAGGCTTTGCTCCATAAAGATTTACAGCCTCTGAAACTGTACACAGGGTCGCTATGAGTCGGAACCAACTCGATGGCATCCAACCACCACCACCACCATCACTGTGTATACATACTGCAGTGTAGAAAAGGTTGGCAAGCCCTGCCCTTTAACACCATTGTCTTGCCTATGTGTTTGCTATTCTTTATACCTGGGATTGGTTTCTTTTCCTTCTCACTGGTAAAATCTTCCTCTTAAGGCTCAGTTTACCTAACATGAATTATGTAGTGGGTGCAAGGCTGAGCCCATTATATGCATTTAGCTATCCCAAATCTTCCTTTCCTTCAAGCAGAGTCAATTACTCCTTCTAATGTGTTCTCATCTTTGCTTACTAGATCATACAGTATAAATATCTATTCCACCAGATTGCAGAACTCTCAAGAAGCTCTGTATCCCTAACACCAAAAGAGACTGGAGCAGAGCAGGTGTTCAGTGGGCATTTTCCAAGGTCTTTGTGCAAAGAGAGCAATGGAGACCTTGCTTTTGAATTCAAGGCCTCTAGGACTGGGTGAGAATGGAACCCTCTGCTCATTCCCTTCTTTAATGCTGCCTGCAGATTTGATGCTTTCTATGGGGAGAGGAGCTCCCAGCAAGACATCTATGCCGGTTCAGTGCAGCCCATTCTAAGGCACTTGCTGGATGGACAGAATGCTAGTGTGCTAGCCTATGGACCTACAGGGGCAGGTAAGGGAGCAGTTGGAACAGCTGTGCATTAGAAAAGACTAGGGAAGGCAGTTTATGAGATAAAACCTCACTTTCCATCCACTCTCTCCCCAGGGAAGACACACACAATGCTGGGCAGCCCAGAGCAGCCGGGGGTGATCCCCCGGGCTCTCATGGATCTCTTACAGCTCACTAGGGAGGAGGGTGCTGAGGGCCGGGCCTGGGCCCTCTCCGTCACTATGTCCTACTTAGAAATCTACCAGGAAAAGGTAAGATCTCACTCTGCTAGGGGAGGGAAGAAGTAAAGGGTCAAAGTTGGGCCCACTTCTAGAATATGAGGCTGTAATCCAGCAAGGAGGGAAGACGAGACCTGGCAAGACAGAGGCTGGGTTGCAGGTAGTACAGCTCTTGAGATTCCAACAGAGAAAAGATTGGTCCCAGGAAATCAGCGGTTAGTTCATGTGGTGCTAGAGGATAAACACTGGACCAATAACCTCAAGGTTGGTGGTTCAAACCCACTAACCACTCCCTGGGAACTTTATATAAGGTTGCTATAAGTTGGAACTGACTCCACAACACTAACAACAACTCACTGCTCAAACAGGTCCTAGACCTCTTAGACCCTGCATCAGGTGACCTGGTCATCCGAGAAGACTGTCGGGGAAACATCCTGATTCCAGGCCTCACACAGAAGCCCATAACTAGCTTTGCTGATTTTGAGCGGTACTTCCTGCCAGCCAGTCGAAATCGGACTGTAGGCGCCACCCGGCTCAACCAGCGTTCCTCCCGCAGCCATGCTGTGCTTCTGGTCAAGGTGAGGCTCATCAACAGGTGAGGACTTGGGAAGCCCCTGGTGCCTGAGCTAAGCCGAGGTCCCTCACTCTTACCTTCAGGTCGATCAACGCGAACGGTTAGCTCCGTTTCGCCAGCGGGAGGGAAAGCTCTACCTGATTGACTTGGCTGGCTCCGAGGACAACCGGCGCACGGGTAACAAGGGCCTGCGGCTTAAGGAGAGTGGAGCTATCAATACCTCCCTCTTTGTGCTGGGCAAGGTGGTTGACGCGCTGAACCTGGGCCTCCCTCGTGTACCTTACCGGGACAGCAAGCTCACTCGCCTGCTGCAGGTCAGGCCCCCATCTTAGGCCTAAAAGGGATGGAAAAGGAGCTTCCTGGACCTGCTGGGGTGTTGGGGAAGCAGTCAAGGAATGGCCAGGCTTGGCTCTCACCCACCCACCCTGCCCAATCCCCATCCCTCAGGACTCCCTGGGTGGCTCAGCCCACAGCATCCTCATCGCCAACATTGCCCCCGAGAGACGCTTCTACCTTGACACAGTCACTGCTCTTAACTTCGCTGCCAGGTCCAAGGAGGTGATCAACCGGCCCTTTACTAATGAAAGCTTGCAGCCTCATGGTGAGCAGGCGTGGAGGCAGGAGTGGACTGGCCAGCTCTGGACGGTTGGGGGGTTGGCTGAGGCCACCAAGCATCAGCACAGAGATTGACACCCCCTTCTTCCCCTAGTTTTGGCACCTGTCACACTGTCTCAGAAAGAACTGCTAGGCTCAGAGGCAAAGCGAGCCCGAGGGCCTGAAGACGACGAAATGGGAAGCCCTGAGCCCCTTGCACCTCCAAACTCTGCCTCCCAGAAACTCAGGTGAGTAGAAAGAGGGGGACTCAGGTGTGTGTTACCTTCCCTATCATGTCTGGGGTAGGTGTAGAGCAGCAGTAGATTTAGCCCAGTGGAGCTTTGACCATAGATGGCTGTAAACTTGTTCTCGTCCATGAAATTCACCCAAAACCTTACTCTCATGAACTCACTAAAGTGCTAAGATTACTGCTGCCTGGGGACCTGAGGAGGTCGCCTCCTTGGGCTCTTAGCTCCCTCCCTTCCCATTTTCTACCCCCTTTAGGTCATCAGCAGAATTTCACAATTGGGGGCAGCTATTTCAGAGACTAGAACTGCTGCTTGTTCAGGGAGTAATCGGAGTCAGATCTTTCAGGTGGAAAGGATGTGAACCAATCAAAGTAAACAGGGAGACAGATGTCTGGCTGAGACCCCTCAGTCTGGGTGGTCAGCCTCTCTGTGACTCTCCAAGGAGCCAGTTGCTATCCTAACATCACCGTTTCTACCTTTAGTCCAGACAAAATCTCAAACACAAGCCTTCCTCCCCACCTCTGCTAGCCTCACTTCATGACCCAGTATGCATAGTATTCAATGGACTGGTTTCCCAAGTCCAACCATGTGACCTTCCTTGACTCTAGGGAGCCAACTGCAGTTCCAACTTTGCTCTGTGACCCCTGTTGTTGTTGTTAAGTGCCTTTGGGTCACTTCCAACTCACAACAACCCTATATTAGAATTTCCAAGGAGCAGCTGGTGGGTTTGAACCACCAACTTTGTGGTTCACAGTTCACAGTTCAGTGCTGATCCGACAGCACCCCTAGCTCAAGTAAAGGCTCTCTAAACTGTCTGGGTCCTAAGACTACTGAACAGAGGTGACTTGGTCACACCCTGTCCTAGTAGGGCTGGATGTACAAAAGGTGGCATGGAGAAAGGAAGATGTCTGTTGTCATCTCTTGCAGGCCAAATCTGACATCTCCCACAGCACTCTACTCTGCTAGACTCAGTAGTAACTCATTGCAGTGGGCACACACAACTTGCACACCCACCTCAGCATTATGGGGTTTATTAGGGAAGTTAAGAGGTTACAAAGCAGGGTTAGAGATGCTCAAGGTGTGCTTCTTTGGTCAGGCTAGCCTCTTCTCAGCCATACCTGCAGGCAGGCGTCTCTCTGGTCCTTGGCCTCTGCCCTTCTCCAGCAGTGTCCGAAGCTGTTTTAGCACTGCTGATAAATGTCCAAAAGATACTTCACTCACTAAGCCTCAGTCCGAAGGTGCTCAGCTCTAGCTCCATGTGTCAGCAAACCCAGCTCCCCAACGAAGTACCTAGAGCAGGGGTGGGGAACGTCTGGCCCACGACAGCCACAGTTCCAGCCATCATATTAGGGCTGAGTTAATTAAACGTTTGACAAAATACAGCAGGCAAATTTTTAAGTTAATAATTTTGTATGGCCCGTGAATGCTGTTATAAATTTTGGCAGAAAATAGGTTCCCCACCAGTGGCCTAGAGGCACCCCGCTCCACAAACGAGCCTCCTGCCCAAAGGCGCTCAGCTTTCCTTGCCCTGTGGGCTGGGAAGATGGCTGCTCTGATGCTTTTGCTCTTGGTTCTGCTGCTCCTTCAGTGCCACAGCTTTCTGTCCCTGGGTCACGGAGGTTCAGCGCTCAGGGATCTGGAGATCCAGAGGAGGTACTCCACTTCTGGCTCTTTTTTTAACTTTTTAATTGTGAATTGAGTGAAGGTTTACAAAACATCAGTTTTTCATTCAATAAATCATATTTTGCGTCATCTCAGTGATTGCAGTTTCCTTAATGTAACATCATTATCCCATTTCTTTCTGTGTTTTCTGTTTGTGGGTAAACGCCCTTTTGACCTCAAATGGTTGACCATTCCGTGGTAAGTATGCTTCACTAGTGTTGCTGTTCCTCTGGTGGTGGTTATGTGCCGTGGAATCGTAGATCTTTACGGGAGTAGAAAGTCTCATCTCTCTCCTGCGGAACAGTTGGTAGTTTCAAACTGCTGACCCTGCGGTTCGCAGCCCGATTCGTAACCACTACGCTACCAGAGCTCCTTGCTGTCCCTCTAGTAGACCTAGCTATGGCTTGGCTAAACATTGAGCTATGAGGATGAGTTTAGTTCCAACCCTGAAGGGCCATAGTTTTAGGATTCCACCAGTTGCTGTCTGACCAGTAAGCTTGGTGTTTTTTATAATTTTGAGTTTTGGTCTACCTTTTCTCCCACTTTTTCCAGGCTCTTCCAAAGTGATCCCTTCTTAAAGTAGTTGGTCATGGCAGCTGGGCACTGTGTGGTTCTTCTGGTCTCAGTGTCTTAGAGACTGATGTTCATGTGGTTTAGTGGGCCATTGGACTATTTCCAGGTGTCTGTCTTCAATTTTCATCAGTCTTCTTTCCTCTGGACAGGAAGAGACTACTAGTTATACTTTAGATGGCTGCTCATGAGACTCTTCTTCCTTGATGGTACTGAGATCTGCTGCTGAGATGGCTCATTTTATACCTGTATTAGAGTTCCAAGTTTTTACAAGCACAATTAACCCTATTAACACTTATTCACAATGGAATCATAGAATCCTATCAGTATCTTCTCCAACCTTCTCTTACCCAGACCCATCAGGAAAAAAAGTTATTGGATGAAAGTCATAAAAACTATGGGTAGAAGAGCCATATGAAGCAACTCACTGCACTGCAGGAGCTATCGATCATACTTGAGGAAGAAATCCGCACATAACAAAACTGCTGACTCGCTCATGACCCCTCTTTTAATCTTGTCTCTCCCAAGCCATCTGTCAGCAGTCCCCTTTCCCATGTGCAAAAACTCAAAGAAATGTTTTTACTGTGTGAATAGGCAAGCTCGCTGGCAGACAGGAACTCTGGGGAAAGGAAGGCTCTGAGATGAGCCACTTTAAGCCTAGACAGACCTTGGCATCCCCTACTTTTCCAAAGGGGAACTAAGATGTGGACATGATGGTACAGACTGCAGTGAGGAATCCCTGCTTGTTCTGATAGAGCCAAAAGAAATCAAATGACTTCCAGCATTCATCCACATATTTTCTGATGCTGCTCCCAGGCACTTACACATGAAGAATAGGACAGTCCCTGCCCTTGAGTTGCTCACAGTGTAGCAAGGAAGACACACAGTCAGTCGGTTGGGTATCCTGGCAAAGGTGGCATCGACTGACTTTGAAAGATAATTGAGATCAGGTGTGAGGTAAAAGAAATTCTAGGCATAAAGAACAAATGCTAGGCATGGCTGTATGCATGTGAAAGTTGGACAGTGTATATGGAAGACCATAGAAGAATTGATGCATTTGAATTTTGGTGTTGGAGAAGAATAGTGAAAGTACCATGGACTACCTGAAGAACAAACAGATCTAAGGAGCCAGAATGCTCCTTAGGAGTGAGGATGATAAGACATCATCTCTCATAATTGGGACATGTTGTCAGTTGGGATCAGTCTCTGGAGAAGGGCTGCATGTTTGGAAAAGTGAAGGGTCAGCTTCCAAAAGAGGAGGACCTTTAAGGAGATGGATTGACACAATGGCAGCAACAATGGGCTCAAACAACAATTGTGAGGAGGACACAGAACTAGGCAGTGTTTCATTCTGTTGTGCATAGGGTTGAAACTGACTTGACAGCACTTAACAACAAAACCCAGCTTGGCTGAAATTAGAACTCTGCTTGAACAGGCCTCCAGTCCTTGCTGTTTCCTAATGATGGTTCGCTTACTTCCCTTGTTAGACTATGCCTCCAGCACAGGACAGTGTCTTAGATACTTTATACCTGATACTCTATTCTTTAAATGCTTATTCTCATCTGATCTGGCATCCCTGGGACCTTACTAGGACATTATTCAGTGATTATTCAGCTGAAGACACTACACCTAGAAATGTTGGACGACTTGCTCAGTAAGTTAGCCTCAGAGTTCTGGACCCAGGGATAAACCAAGTTAAGGCATGATAAGACGGTAAGTGAGAGTTACCTCGTTTTGTCTGCTCAGCCCTCTGCAGAAGCTAAGCAGCATGGACCCTGCTATGCTGGAGCGCCTCCTAAGCTTGGACCGTCTACTGGGCTCCCAGGGAAGCCAGGGAACCCCTCTGCTGAGCACCCCACGGAGAGAGCGAATGGTGCTCATGAAGACAGTGGAGGAAAAAGTCTTGGAGATTGAGGTAAGTGTTGGGAAGGTGGACTGGACCTTGTGAAGCAATTCTAGAAGAACATGTAGACTAGACTATAGATCCAATTTACACCCAACACTGGATCTTTCAGCCTTAGCAGGTGTAAACTTTGGAAGATGATTGAGATCAGAGGTGAGGCAGTGAGAGAGAAAATTCCAGGTAGTAAAAACAAATGTCAGATATTGTCATTTCCTAAAACCCAACTCAGATTTTAGAGGAGTTTGAACAGCCCTTCCCATCAACCTTTCACAAACCACTTGTTCTATTTCTGGTCATCGTTGATCATTGTTGTTGGTATTAAATGCCTTGGAATCAGTTTTGACTCATAGCAACCCTGTATAGGGTTTCTGACACTTGTTTTTTTACTGTTTTGTGGGTGCAGAAGGTCTCATCTTTTTCCTACAAAGCAGCTGGTGGGCTTGAACTATCAACCTTATGGTTTGCTGTCCAGTGTTGCTTCTGTGGAGCTACGCACTCCCCTCCCTGATCATTAGAAAACCCTTAGCTATCTTATGCCCCAGCTGTCTCCTGGTACTGTCTGTCACAGCCCTGCCTTCTGAGACTTCAGGTCCCTCACAGTCATCACTGTCTCTGAGGCTTCCCTGAAGCTGAGTCTGGGTCACATCTCTCCTTGGTCCTCTCCAACAGAGGCTTAAGGTGAAGCAGAAAGAACTGGAGGCCAAGGTGCTGGCCCAGGAGGCTGTGGAGCCAAAGGAAAAGGAAAATTGCTCTCCCACAATACTCCGACCCCTCTCCCACCGCAGTATCTCAGTGGCTAAGCCCCTGAAAAAGGCTGTGGTGTTGCCCCTACAACTGCGTAAGTATGGCTTGGGGCCAGAAGGGCCCAGATAATCAGAATCCCCAAAGGAAGGAAGTGTTAGGAATATCATCTCAACAGACTGTCACTCGTGTCCTCCCACACATGCCAGCCTCGAGGATCTGGAGCAGAGCTGGCTGGGTGCTTGGCCCTTGGGTGTTTATAGATATAGACCGACAGATGCATAATTGATTGTAATGCAAGACCAATTTGGAATACTGTCAAATACAGGTATGATAAAGGACACGTGAAGACAGCAGAAGAGGTTAACTCAGGGTAGAGGAGTGCTCGTTAGATGCCACAGAGTCAGTTCCAACTCAATGCATAACATATACAACTCATGCACAACAGAACAAAACACTGCCCAGTTCTGTGCCAGCTTCATAACTTAGGTTTGAGCCCATTGTTGCTGCCACTGTGTCAGTCCATCCCATTTGGGGTTTTCTTTTTTGCTGACCCTCAATTTTTCAAGCATGATGTCCAACTCCAGGTTCTGGTAGGAGGGAAGCTAGGGAACCAGAAATGAACCAGGTGGTTTCCAGAGAGAGTGAAAGGGGCCTCTGCTCTGACTCCGGTTTCTAATCCCTGCTTTCAGTGAAGGAGCAGGCAGCATCCCCAATTGCTGAGGTCCATATCCTGAAGAAGAGAGGCCGGAAGAGGAAGGTGAGTGTAGTTGGAGGGTTAGAACCACCAGCTCTAATAAGGGATAGTGAGCTCCAGTGGGTAAGAACACTAGCCTTGGAATTATAAGACCTGGCAGACACCAGCTATTTACAAAGCTTACAGTTTGCTTGTCCTCTGAATGCAGTGATGGTACCTCACAGGTCGTGTAAGGTGACATGCAATGCTATGGATGTGTTTTGCACATGGTGGGTGTCTATCACCTTTGAATTTCCTTTTTCCTGATGGCTCTTAACTCCCAGCCAGTAGCGATTTACTAGGTCCCATGTAAAGGAAAGCATAGTCCTTCCTTTAACCCATGGGAGTGGATGGGCTGCAGATTGACCTTAGTCTGTGGTTTACATTCACTAACTAGTTTGAGCCTCACAACTATGAAATAGTTACTAGTCTTGTCATTTTATCCTGGAAACATGTTTTTTTGTAAATACCCTTGACTGGAGGAAAAAGGGGAGGGGTGGGGGCACAGCCCTAACTGTCAACTGGCTCCAAGAAAGTTCCCAGAGCAGCGCTGCCTTGGGCTGGGCTACTATTTCTCTCTCACCTCTCCGGAACCTCATAGCTGGAGTCCCTGTGTGCCTCCGAGCCTGAGGAGAAAGCTGAGGACTGTTGGGAGCCACAGATCAGCCCAGAGCTACTGGCCCATGGGCGCCAAAAAATCTTGGACCTGCTGAACAAAGGCTCAGCCCGGGATCTACGCAGCCTGCAGCGCATTGGACAAAAGAAAGCCCAACTCATTGTGGGCTGGAGGGAGCTCCATGGTCCCTTTAGTCAGGTAGGGGCTCAAGGAGGGCAGTACTGGACTCCATTCGGAGAGGGCAGGGAAAGTCTGGTGCATACGGACTTTCGCCACCACTGCTCTCCCACCAGGTGGAGGACTTGGAACGGGTGGAGGGCATATCTGGAAAACAGGTGGAGTCATTCCTAAAGGTGAGGCCACTCCTCTCCCTCCTTTCCATGGACCGGACCCAACCTACATGCCAACTGTGCCTTCCCTCTCCCCCCCCTCCCATGTCTTGCAGGCAAACATCGTGGGTCTAGCTGCGGGCCATCGCTGTGGCCCCTCCTGACTGCCATCTCCTCTTCTACCTGTTTTGTTTTATCTTTGTGTCTACGTGTTGTGTAAATACAGTTTTTATTCCAGTGCTTCTGTCTGATTCTTGGGACTGGGGGGATTGGAGGGTCATATATGGGAAAGATCGCACTAGGGATCCATCTGGAGCTCCACTGTTGAACTTATTTGGTCGCCATCTTTCCAAGAACGGAGCCCAAGAAATAGTAAATAAACCCCTGAAATGAGGTACAGGGACGGTGGCCGAAAGGAATCAAAAAGCTTAAGAGAAAGTTCGCGGAGGGCGACCGTTAGGCGGGTGCGCGCTTAGGTTTTAGCCCCGCCCTGTCCGTACCCCCGGTGCGCGTACCTCCATTCCCGCGCGGCAGCGGATTTTGTGCGCGTGCGCGTGAAATAACGGCCGCTGGCGGAGGGAAAGGGGGGGGTGGGATCGTTGAAGGGGGAAGAAGAGCTGCCGCCCTGTCTCCCGCGCGCCTACCACCTGCACCATCGTCAGCCAATCAGCGGCCTTCTCAGGGGTCTCGCGCTTAGGGCGACTCGGGCTGCTGGGTGGCTCCCCCGTCCCTCCTCCCGCCAGAGTCCCTCTCAAGCCGGCCCCCCTCCCGCTGGCCGCGCGCGCTCCCGCGCTCGCGCCCGCTCCAGCCTC